ACTCCTCAGAAGGAAGGTTGAGCAATCTACTTCCATAGAGATACTGCTTCGGAAACCTAAGGAAGGGTCGCTATGAGTCTGATCTGACTCCATGGCAGTGGCTTTGGTTTGGTTTGGAGGAGAGTGGGATGTGTTTCCAGGATAGACAGAGTGTACCCAAGCCCTGTCACATAACCCAGAGTCATGGAACTGGACACAGTGCGGGGGAGACAGAGGTCTCCCCTCACAGATCAAGAGGCCTGGTCTGAATCTCAGCTGTGCCATCTAATCTCTGACAAATTTCAATAAGTGCTCTGAGCTTCAGATGCCCTGTGTGTAAAATGCAAAGAACATTAGTCTCTACAGGTTTGCAGAGAGATGCTTTATGTTAGTGACTAGAATAGACAATCTGTACCTATTGTTGCTGTTAGTTGCCCTCAAGTGGCTTCCCACTCAGAGCATCAAAAAACAAAAACAAAAGTCGAGTTGATCTGACTCATACTGACCCCTCCTTGGGTTTCCGAGGCAGTATCTCTATGGAAGTAGATTGCCTGATTTTCCTTCTGAGGAGTGGTTGGCAGGTTTAAACCGCCAGCCTTCTGGTTAGGAGTCAAATGCCTTAGGCACCGCACCACCAGAGCGTCTATGCAGAGCTGCTCAGTGAGCAGTGAGGTTTTCAAGGCTGTGACGGTTCAGAAGCAGATCAGAAGCAGGCCTTTCTTCTGAGAAGTCAAGCACTTAATCATTTGCCCCACTCAGGGAGTCCATCGCGCCTATTAGCATATCAATTACTCCAATAATGGCTCAGTACTCAAAGCCAAAGCAATAGCATGGATTGTTAATAGGAACATGCCTGAGAGTAAAGGTGGCCTCTGTTGACCTGCTAGGGTGCTGAGTGTCCTCCCTACTGCCCCTAAACACCAACCCCTCAAACCCTCCAGCCCATGCAATGAATTGGGTCAGACTCAGGTTGACAGTGCTGAGGAAGGTTCTGGATCACAAGGACCCATTGATAATGATTGTCTCTATCTTCTTTGGGGTCAGAGTGGAGTGAGAGTGCAGTCTGTGCCCATGAGCTCTGCTGACCTTTATACCAACCACTAATTCTGAAAGGGAGCCAGCTTGTAGGGAAAGAGATTCGTGCCATTTTGCTGGTCCCCAAATGCCAGTGGGGCTGCATGGACCATTCTAATGTCCTTTGCTCCCACAGAGCAAGACTATCCTCTTACAGGGGATCCTCAATCTCCTGAATATCTGCAGAGACCAGTCCTCCATGGTAACAACTCTTCTTTGGACTGATGTTCTCCCAATTTCTCTTTTCTGCCCTGAGCTTTTCCACTGAGATTATTGCAGCAGGAGCTGTCAATCCTCCATGTTATTCCTAGAGAAGCTTTCACACATTTATTCCTAACCTGCCTACTTCTCCATCTCATTTCTGCTCTTCATTAGCCTCACTCAGCCTGAATGGAAAGAGAATACCATCTACTCTTCACTTATCAACTGTATCATTATTTAACAATTTATATTTATGAAAACGTTTGGTCCAGGACCCATGTGGGGAAGTGACCAGGCCTGGAGCGTCCCTTGTAGGCCACCCCAAACAATATACCAGAGTTCCCCCCTACCTCGATGTCTGGACCACAAAAGCAATGGTGGCCAGTTGGCCACTGAATACCTTCTCCCATTTATCTATGATGTCTCAGTCTGGTCACAGAGGGCACAGAGTGACAGCAGGACTACACGAGGTCACAAGAAGGAAAGGGGAGGTTGGGTCAGGGCCTGAAGGTGCCAGGAAGATGGGTAGGAGGAGACAGGAAGGGGATGAGAAGAAAGGGAAGGGATCCTCCTGGGGTTGCAGGACTGGGGCAGGTAATGGGAGGTGGCCAGGGCTCTGCAGTGGTGGTGAAGGCATGGTGGAGAAAGGGGGCCCACAGCACGAACATCCTGAGATGGGTTGGGGGCACCCAAAGTGGGGACAAGGGATGTAGCCCCCCACTCTCAAATAATGTCAATTTTGCATAGGGACATGTTCTTTGGAACCTAACCATGTTGATAAGTGAGGAGTGGTTGTAATTTCTCACCTCTGGTTGCTGGGTTCACATCCTCCAGCCAATGCCTGGATACCTTTCTCATGTCATGAGTGTGATTCACGGTTATAATGGCATGAATACAACCTGTTGCTGTTGAGTAGATTTTCACTCATAATGACCCTAGGACAGAGTAAAATTGTCCCATAGGATTTCCAAAGATGCAAACTTTACAGAAACAGACTGCCTCATCTTTCTCCAGTGGAGCAGCTGGTGGATTCCAACCACCAACCCTTCAGTTAGTAGCCACCCACTTATCCACTGTGCTTCAGCTCCACGTGAACATAGCTCTATCATATTTGATAAGAGAAAGCATTTGAGTGTTTAAAAATCGATCAGTGCCTTCATTACAATTCCATATATATGGTATAATTCTCATTAAGTATTTTCATGTTAATCAAGACAGAATAATCTTATATTTATCTTATGTCACTGTGAATGACCTCAAGGCTCCCTGAGTGTATCAGAGACTGAAATTTGCATGACTGACAGGGTGCCAGCAGCCCTATTACATCTTAATTATTCCACTTCTGGGGAAAAAGAAAAGATGATTAAGTCAGGGACAAAATATTCTTCTTTTCCTTGTAAGCTTCTCAGGAGGGAACTACACTTGGAGAGTAGGGGAAGGGGAATGAAGAAGCAATGATTACACAATGTTTATTAGTGGTTTCCAGCGGCAGAAGGGAGATGGAAAAAGGGAGGAACCATCAAGGGCAGATACCCAGTAAGCAAGGTAAACACAGGCTCATTTACAAATCTATAGTGAATAATTTCACCGCATCAAAGAAAAGCATGTGGAATTGTTCATTACAGATTCCATAAGCACAAATAAGCACAAGCTTACCTTGTTTACTGGGTACTCCATCCTGGACAGGGCTTGTAAACTTGAAGAAAGGCTTTGATTTTATAGGAAGGTGCTGTGGAGTTGGGATAGAGACAGATGCCATCCACACCTGGAAGAATCTTAGATGTGGTGATAAATGTGAAATTGTTCAATACTAATTAGTAAGAAGCACAAGTAAACTTGTGTTTTCCTTGCTTATTGGGTAATCTGTCACTAAGAAGCATTTAGTATGTTTACCGTGATAAGGAAACTTGGCGGAAGATACCGGTGATGATTGCACAACATGATTAACGTAATCAGTGTTACTGAATTTTATGCATATAAAAAAATGTTGAATTGGCGAATGTTGTGTTATATATATATATATATATATATATATATATATATTTAGAACAATCAAAAGAAAAAAAAAGCAGCAGCAGCAGCAGTAGCAGCAGCAGCAATAGTTACAAAGCAGAGATAAAATAGCCTCAGTCCAATTCCACGTTTAGGTTTGGATGCCCTTGATATGCTTTCTGGTCTATAAAGATAGAGCTCTAGGAAGTAGATGACTATAGAGCTTGATTTTATGTAATACAGTTTATTGAAATTTCAGCCTGACCGTCAACTATCATTGAAACACTATTATTGCCTTTATCAGTGAAAAATTACTGCCTAAAAAACCACCACAAAATTCAATGGCTTAAAACATTTGTTATTATTCATGTATCTGTGACCAGCTGGTGGGTTGGCTGGGGACCGGCTGGTCTAGGATTACCTCTTTCACATGTCCGGCAGTTGACTGGCTGTTGGCCAAGTTGATGTAATTGACTGGTCACATGCCTGTCATCATCCAACAGTCTAATATTATGTGATATGTGGCGTAATAGCTCCCCCCCCACCCTGCAAAGATGTCTGTGTCTTTGTCCTTGGGATTTGTGAATATGTTAACTTACATGATAGAAGGGACTTTGCAGATCTGACTAAATTAAGGATATTGAGATAGGGAGGTTATGCTGAATTATCCAGGCAGCCCTAATGTAATCACAAAGGCCCTTATAAGAGGGAGGGAGGAGGATCAAAATTGTAGAGAGATGTAAGAATGAAAGCAGAGGTCAGAGAGGAGAGAAGAGGCAAAAGTGTTGGCTTTGGAAATGGAAGGGGGCCTTGAGCCAGAGAAAGTATGCAGCCTCTGTTGTGTTGTTATGTGCCATGGAGTCGGACCCGACTCGTAGAGACCCTTCCTTGGGTTTCCGAGGCAGTATCACTACAGAAGGTGATTGTCCAACCTTCCTTCCAAGGAGTGGCTGGTGGATTTGAACCACCAGCCTTCTGGTTAGCAGTCAAGTGCCTTAAGCACTATGCTACCAGAGCTCCTATGCAGCCTCTAGAAGCTAGAAAAGACAAGGAAATGGGTTCTCTTCTAGAGCTTCCAGAAAGAATGGAGCCCTGCAGATCTATCTCAGACTTCTGATCCCCTCCAAACTATAAAGGAGCTCTGGTAGCATAGTGGCTAAAGCACTTGACTGCTAACCAGAAGGCTGGCAGTTCAAACCCACCAGCCACTCCTCGGAAGGAAGGTTGGGCAATCCTACTTCCATAGTGATACTGCCTCGGAAACCCAAGGAGGGGTCGCTATGAGTCGGGGCCGACTCGACGGCACATAACAACAACAACAACAACCAAACTATAAAAGAATAACGTGTTTCTTTGAGCCACTCAGTTAGTTGTGATTTGTTACAGCAGTAATTGGAAACTAATACATCTATACTTGTCAACTTGGAGTAGTAGGGGTCCAAGATAGAAAGCAGATCTAGTTATAGGCTTAGGATTGACACATTGTCACTTCTGCCACATTCTATTGACTAAAGACATCACAAGACCAGCCCAGATTCAAGACATGAGAAATATTGCCTTGGTGGAGTCTATTTCTCCATCCTCTTAAAGGGTGAAACTGTAAAATCACATTGCAAGGATTGTAGAAATGGGTAAAGAATTGTGGATATTTGTTTGCAATTTGTCTACGACAGTGCCATTTCCAAACTGACAGACGACCGTCAAAAGCAACTTCTGACTCTGGTTTCCTTTTCAATTCTAGGCACACAGGAAGCATGGGTATCTGGACCTCAGGTGCCAATAACTTCCTAAGTCTTTGGGGGATCTACGTATCTCCAAGGAAGCCTGGATGGATAAGCTTAATCCAACACTTGGGCGTTTGCTGTTTTGTCGCTCTCCTTTCAGCAAGCCTCCTCTCTGTGGCCTTCTACTGGCTTTTGTCATCATTTGCGATGTTCACCACTTTCTGGATTATCATATGTGTCCTGCTGTGTTTCTCCAAGCATGCAAGATGCTTCATTCTTCTCTTCTTTCTCTCTTGTGGCTTGCGTGAAGGCAGGAATGCTTTGGTTGCAGCTGGCACAGGGATAGTGATATTTGGGCACGTGGAAAATATTTTTCACAATTTTAAAGGTCTTCTAGACAGTATGACTTGCAACCTAAGGGCAAAGAGCTTTTCCATACATTTTCCACTTTTGGAAAGATATATTGAAGCAATTCAGTGGATTTATGATCTTGCCTCTCCACTACATCTATTTGATGACCTTGTTTCTTGGAACCAAACTCTGGAGGTCTCGCTTTTCAGTCCCAGTGAAGTGATGAAGGCACAGCTAAATGACACCAGAGGCAAAGTGCTGAGTGTGATGTACCACATGATGACCACAGCAGAGGTGCTGTCTTCCCTCGGTCACAAGCTGTTTACCATCATGGGGGTCATGCTGGTCCTACTCAGCACTGGGCTCTTCATGAAGCGGTTTTTGGGCCCTCATGGTTCAAAGTTTGAAAACATCTACATCACCAGAAAATTTGTTCAGGTTGATGAAAGAGAAAGGCTCCAACAGAGGCCCTGTGTCCTCCCACTGAATAAGAGAGAAAGGAAAAAATATGTTGTTGTACCATCTTTCTGTTTGACTCCTAAGGAAAGGAAAAACCTGGGGTTGTTTTTTCTCCCCATACTTACTCATCTCTACATCTGGGTGCTGTTTGCCGCCGGAGATTATCTGCTGTATAGGCTCATTTTCTCCGTGAGCAAACACTTCCAAAGGTTGCCAGAGCTTGAGGTTCACTTGAAACTGCACACAGAGGTAGGCATCCATGGGGAACTTTTTGTGTGTGTGTGTGTGTGTGATTTGGGTGAAGATTTACAGAGCAAATTCACTTTCCATACAGCAGTTCACATATACTTTGTCTCATGTCATTGACCACAGTTTACCACA